CCATTGATTCCGGAGACGGACTGTCCAACATGGGTATAGGGGTATCCGAAATAAAACTCATCTCGCCAGTTTCAAAATAGACTTTTCATTCTATTGACATAGTTCGATGCACGCAAAGATATCAATTCTGAAGAGGAAAAGTTCATTGCCCTGCTGGATTCTATTCATCGACTTTCGATGACACCATGAGTACCGATCATTATCTGTCCACTCAACGTTTGGGCGATCCATTTCTGAGAAAATTCCCACACAAATTAAACACGTCAACACCTGAATACATGGAAACATCGTCAATTCAGATGTGATGGCATGCAAAGAGCTGTACTTCACCATCATCGCATTCAAAATACCAAAACAAATTCACCGCTTGAACCCCCCACGCTTTTGGCCGTGCGACTTTCTCATCCACAATGCCACTATTGCTGGCACTCCACTATCAGACTTCATTTCCGTAGCATGTGTGATCCACCATTGCCCAATCACACTACATGGCTGACAATAAACTCGGGATTTCCGACGAGAGAAGTGAAGGCCGAAGCAAGCCACTCTCCACTATGAGAACGTGCTTCTGAAAGAAACATTTATGTGGTGAGATTGCATATTCTAGAACATTGGTCACTACCGGGTCCTTTTTATTCTCCGATAATAAAATTCCTACAATGCAAATTTTCGCTACCCCTTCACAACCGACCACACTCACACCGCTAGCTTAGGTGTGCAAGAATCCACCTAATTTTCTCTGGCATGGCCACATGGCAGCAACGCTGCCATGTCCATTCGGCAGGGGCCGAGATTGATACCGTACTGCTCTTTCGCTTCCAGGGGTAAATCGTATATCTAAGAAAGTTGCTGGGTCATCGACGATAAGAAAAAAAGTATTTCATTATCAATGAGCAGGCCCTCACAGGCCTTTACAGGCCCCCATCACATATTCTTTTTACGATGATTGCAATGCGGTCAAATTTGACTCACCGTTGCGAGCCCAAGCAATTAGTTTTGCTTAAAGTTTTGTCAAGGACCAAGATAAGGAGCAGAGGTTAGACTTTTGGCCATAATTCGGGCATTCATTTCGAAGGAGCTTTTTTTTGTGGTATGTATGTCAATTTTTCCTTCGAGAAGTTGTATCCAGGAGGATTAGACCTCAAGGTTTACTTCCACCTTAGTACTTCTCCCGAATTAGAATCACAGCAAGTTACGTTTGTGAGACTCCTGGGAAGGGAAGAGCGGGATAACAGGCATTTTCGACTTGTCCATTTTCTCACTTGCAATGCTTGCATATGCTGGTATTATTCTGGTTCTCAACAATTCCATAAAAGCATTCTTCGTGGTTGATGATCAATGCTATTATTATTAGTCATAAAATATACAAGATTATATCACACGATCAATTGTTTGATCATTTGAAAGACAGATTCGAAACCTTTGAGCGGAGAGACCAGATCGCAAACAGTCAATTTACAAGATGTAAGTACCACAAGGCGTTCTAGCTTACTACCGAAAGGACAAAGCTTAAGCCGAGTAGTTTCTTTTGCTCAGCAATGTGAAGTCCTCATAGCAACGGCTAAACAAGCCAGGCTTGTCGGCGTCCTGTCTTTTTAATTTTATTTAAGTTTACACAGTGGAGGTCAGAGTGTTAGTCACTTGGTGTCATCATGCAACGTATGGAAAAAGCAACAGTCCACACATGCTACATCTGCCAAATACCTCAAGCTTCTAAGTCATCGGTCCCCAGTCCTCTATGATACAAATACACCAACCGCAAAGAGGTCTGATCATACGCGTCATCTATATTTCTGGGGAGAATCAGTGAGACTGCCATCATTGCCTTGACAGTGTGGTGATCGCATCGGATTTACTCTATCCTACTACCTATATTTTTCGAAATCAGGTCATTACGCAATGCACACTCAAGCCTCACGTATCAAGCACTTTAATCAGGAATATGCAGCAATGACTACTGAATCATATCTAACTTCTCTAAACATCTGAGTTTGTTCGGAGAAAATCTTTTTCCCAATCCTCATCCAACTCTTTCCCACTTGTCGCTGAAACCCGAACCATCTATTGCTGTCAGCTGAATTTTCTGAATGCTACATCCTCTTTACAGATATTATGACAGTAATGATCAGCCCTACCTCCTAGTAACAACAATAAAGTCATGCTCTAAATCTGGAATTCGCTCCGATTTGATAAGTTCTACATCGGAACGGATAATTGGTGATCGGGATTATCTTTGTCGATCCCCCATGAACCGGCAAGCTCTTTACAACAATTAAGGTAGATATTCTTGACTTACAAGATGGGGGAGGTGCTTATATAGTCGTAGTTTTGGAGTTTCATAGTTTAAAATATCAAGCCTTGAGAGTGTTGACGGTTTGTATCTCCACCTAATAAGTGTATACTTCCTATCACAGCGCATTGCCATGCCATATATTTGTCTCTATAATGCTACTAAATATTTCTCTTCTGTTCCTATTCCAAACCCATTTGTCTCATCAATAAGAACAATACTCAAGCTTGTGTCTATGAATTATTTCCTACGCATGATGTAGATATAAAAACAGAATCTATTAATAGAACAACATGATAATCCAGAGACTCCAGCAATATCAATACCCCTCACTCCCTTGTTGAGCACGAATATTTTCGGCAACGATCTTTCCTACAATGATGCGGATTAGTAACACGATCGACAACAACCCAGTTCTTGTGGTTCTGGTGACGAATCCTGGATGATTGCTTGTTTTATAATAGCAGTTAGTGATTTGCGCGTGAAGATCGATATTAGGGGGAGGGGAGGGGGTACTGATTCTAGGCTTGGAGTATTTACCGTTATTGGCGGCGAAGGGCCTGGTTGTTCGTCACAGCCTCCTTCATGCAGCAATTGTGTCTCTGTTGAAATTGCGCAGTGAATATAGAAAAAGTAATATATATTACTATTCATTCACTTCAGCTTGGGAGTACAGAGTCTGCTCTCCGCACAATGACCCCCAAAACGATCAACTCTCAAGCATCAAGTTTGAAAGGTTTTGACGGTAAATTATGTCAGAGCTTTTAGAGGAAGTTTTGAGCGCGTGTAATCTTACAGTGTGCAAGTGCTGGATACAGGTCTCTAAATCATTGATTTTCATTTTCGATAGTGTGCGGAATGTCCTTTACTGCGTTGAATCTTCGTTGGGTGGGAATTGATGACAATGAGAGCTTTTAGTGGTAGCGGAATTGGATGCCTCGCTGGGTAGAGGTACTCATGGACATAACCATGAAGCATATAGAAAGTATCTGCGTGTTTGACGTCTGCTACACGGATGATGAAGTCTTGCTCTATTCTATCTTCAACTCTGATTGTTTAAGCACGGAGAAAGTTCTCTTGAGAATTGACAAAAATCAGGGACAACCAAGAATCCAACTACTTCTAGTGAATTGTTTCCAATTGAAATGCTATCAGAGAACTGATCACTACCTAAATCCTCTTCATCCCGAAAGGTTGGAGTGTAATTTCCTATTATCTCTCCAATTTCCAACACATGGGCATTACATGTCCGCACGAGTTAAAGCAGTCCATTTGAAGCACTATTGGTACGTTTTGCCATACAGTCTATTGACTTTTCTGTGATAGACTCTCCGTTTCATTTGAGCTATGAGCGTACCACATCAAGTATTCACAACAACAAGTGTGCAAAACGACAACAAAATCACATACATTGATTCTCGAATGCGACAACAGCAACGCCAAAATCGACTATTCTAACTTCTATACTCCCTTATAATCAATTTCCCATACCCCCAGAAAATCCTGAACAACAGCCAATAAGTATTATCTTCTCTAGTATTCCGCTCTCAAAGCCAAGGCAAGGCCCTATCCCATCTATATCCACTATCGTCTCGCTTCGTCCACGCCAGGGGTCCAAGGGCATTCACACAGAGATTATCTCCACTCCACCCCACCCCACCGAACTCCACAAATGGAAAATTTTCTTTCTGCGTAGTTATATATTCAAAATTGCTAAAGATTTGCATCAAAAATGGAAGCAGTTTATCAGCTCAGCAAGCTTCTGTGGTCCAATGGTTAGGATTCCACCCTTCCAAGGTGGAGGTTCGTGTTCGATTCACGGCAGTTGCATTTCTTTTTGCTTTTTGTGTTGGTTATGTTTGTTTTAGTTGGTGGATAGATGTGCTCGAGATGGTTTTTTGCTGATTGTTTTGCTGGTCGTTGATGTCGGTTAAGTGACCGCATAGAGAAAGGGTTTTCTGGTTTGAATGAGTGCCTGCGAGCTCAATAGGAGATCGCAAACTGAGTATACACACGGTGCGTATTCGTTAACGAGAGGTGGTAGCACCAACCTTTTGCCCCCAGAACAAAATTAGGGAGAACATTCTTACTCATCTGTATCACAGCGGTAAAGAGCGAAGGATGTATGTAAATCACAAGCATTCGTATTCAACCGAGTGAAGTCTTGAACGTTTGGTTCATTCTGATATGCTCCCGTGCAAATCATTGATATTGAGCTTCATATATTCATATTGATGATTTGCAGCTGCTAAGGAAGTACTCTTTCTGCCAATGTAGCATTTGCGAATAAGAGGATATATCTACCCATTCGAAAGTATCGTTCAGCCAGTCGTCAAACTCCGCATAGAGACTCTTATCCCGTACCCAGTATCGACTTAAAACTTTATCTTAAGATGTACAAAGTTTCAAATCATTTAGACTACACACAAAAACTCCACACTCTACGCTCCGGCCATACCCTCTCAAAATCCTGATTTCCATATATCCAAGGTTCTCCGTGTCATGATAACATGATTTATGGATACCCTCGCTTGAATCTTTAGATTTGTATTTACAGTATGCATGGTATTATATCTGCCATGCTAGACTAAACAGAAAGGAGAAATACCGCAGTTGTGTTTCCTGACGTTTTGCTCTTCACAGCCCTTCATTAGCCCCGTAGCGCTCTTTAACTGTTTGGAAAGAAGCCCTGCACCTTTGCAGGAAGCGCTCAGTAGCCAATTTTTAATTCAGGAACATATGCTTCCAACGGATAAGTTAAAGTAGAATTCTTCTTTATCATGGATGGTGGTGTTGAACCTTCGTAATCCTCGGCATTGATGTCAGCACCGCGGTCTAGCAATGTCTTGACAATTCGCAGGTGACCTCCGATAAGGATGGCATGCATCAATGGTGAGAGACCACCATCGCTTCTAGATTCAATACTAGCACCCTTATCTAACAATAACTTGACCATATCTTCATTTAGAGAAGAAATAGCCCAGAACAACGGCGTCTGGCCCATCGCACCCTTCTGATTAATGTTTGGAGTCTTTTCTAGCAATAGTTTCAGTATAGATAGCTTTCCTTCCGAAATAGCTATTTTAACAGCCTTTAACAACAACCCGTTGTTGTCTTTGTTCTCCACCTCAGTAGAGGCGCTTTGCTTTAAAAGAATTGCAACTACAGCTTCGTGCCCCTAAAAATAGCTTCTGAAAGTAGGCCACAGCCAAATTCTGTCAGTAAATCGAATTTGCCACCTTTCTTTAACAATAACTCCACAATAGTCACGTGTCCCCAAGAAGCAGCTTCATACAATGGTGTACAACCGCTTTCGCTTTTCGCGTTGATCTCAGCGCCATTTTCCAACAATAATTTAACTATGTTTTCGTTGCCATTACTAGCAGCGTGAATCAGCGGCGTCCAGCCTTGATACCCTGGCATCATATCTCTTGGACTCGCATCCACGCCACTTTGTAAGAGAAACTCAACCATTTCTTTGCGTCCGTATCGCGAATTTGAGAGCAATGCCAACGCAAACCCCTCTTCTTTACAATCAAATTTGGCACCTTTTTCTAATAACAGACTCATTATATTTACATGTCCAGTAGCAGCAGCTTTCATCAGGGGCGATTCGTTACCAAAATCAACACAATTGACTTCGGCGTCATTCTCCAGTAACAAATCAACTACATTCTTGCGTCCATAAAAAGCAGCATTCATTAGAGGCGTTCGATTATTATAGCCTCGATAATCAGTCTTAGCGCCTTTCTTCAATAACAACTTGACTATGTCCAGGCTTCCCGCCAGACTAGCTTCCATCAAGGGTGTGTTGTCAGACCCTGTTTTAATATTAACCTCAGCGCCTTCCTCCAATAATAACTTGGCAATTTCGCCATGTTTACGATGAACAGCGAACGTCAGAGGCGTGTTATTATCGAACCCTCTGTAATTAACCTCAGCGCCTTTCTCCAATAGCACTTTTACCATGTTCGCATGTCCAGATATCACAGCTTTCCCCAGAAGTGATACCTCACCAACTTCTTTTATACAGTTAGCATCGATACCCTTCTCCAACAAATATGTGGCGACAATACATTGATCTCTTTCAACGGCCTCTATCAACAAGGTCTTGCCACGATCGTTCAGATTCGGACCAAACCAACTCTCGTCCGAACTGAGTTTAAAGACGAGTGGTATCTCCTGATTGCATCGTGAAAGCTGAAAAATAAGATCGCTTTTTTGTGTGTAGGTGAAGCTGCGTCCAAGCTTGAAATTTTTTAAATTTTTTGGGTGGTATGTTTTGCACAAGTCATGCTGTAGAGAGTTTGAGGGAAATGTTTCAGCTTCAATCTTAAGGAGCGTCTGAGCAGCTTCATCGCTCCCAGTAGCCAGAGCAGCAAGGATTGATGGCCCATATCGCTGCTCTGTTACATCAAAGCAAGACTCCTTTCTGGGACGTTTTCGAATGAGGTTGGCTAAATTTCTTTCTGCTAAGAGATAGAGAATAGTTACCGAGTCCGTATATCGTCGAATCTCGTGATTCTCAAGATAGTTGTTCACGAATACCCATAGATGGGTGGGAAATTTTGCTAGAAAGTCTACCTGCTCTATGTAATTCTGTTGAGCAAGATTGGCGTGATACAGGATGTTGGACACTGAATAATCGAGAAATGGGAACTTCAGTCTAATTTCCTCTTGCAATTTTGACTGTGTTTCCTTGGAACGTTGATCATGTGGTACTGGCTCATCGGGCTTTAGTGTATTCGAAAATGGATATTTCATGTTACGACATTCCCAGAAGTTTGACCTGCTAAAGTTGAAATGTATCATAATCTTTTGGTTGATGACAGCGTTTAGTTGAGCTAAGCAACAATTCTTCAACGTGTCATGCCCATGGCCGACAAAATTTCCGGAAACTCCAGACAATTGAGTCTCGTATCTACCCAACAAAAAGTCCCGAACAGACTCGTGGATAAACTGTACGTCCGAAGCTTTATTTTTCGTCACCTCAGCCAAGCCCTTAGAGGAGCTCCTCACAAATAATCTCATTTGGTCAACGTTGACATCTTCCTGGTCCCAAGAACCCATGCAATCTTCATCAAGGCCGATTTGAGTTGCAAAATAGAGTTCTTGTGGTTTCAAGGGACGCGTTGCAAATAAAATCAATTTCAGACAAAGTTGTAGCTCTTCGAGGTTCTCCCCATCCCGCTTGAGGATCATTTCAAACAAATCGTTTAATCCTGGTGGGATTTCGTTGAGGCGCTTACTGATTTTCTTAATAGAAATGGAGCCAGCTGTATACTCGGAATTGAGGATATCAAGAACTAAGACGACCCAGAGAAAAATGCTAGAAGACTTTTGGAGGATTTCTGACCGAAGTGCCTTGGCTTGTTTGGATTTGCCTAGCCTTAATTTTGACTTGATATAGTGCTGAATATCTTCCATATGTCCAAGTTCATCTTCTAGAGTCAGCTCCATACCCTTCTGGATGACTATAGTGGGATAGTGTCGACTAGAAAAGCATATTTGCAGGCTCACTTGCGAAACTTCTGCAAGCTCACATAATTCCTCAAAAAATGAAACCATTCCACTTGCTTGCTTCTGGTCGCATTCATCCAGCGCATCGACAAATATCATCAGTGGCCTGCTTCCAAGCTTTGCTACAGCATGCTTCAACGTCTGCTTTAAAGCTGCTTCACTCCAACCATTTCTTTCAATGCCTCTCGCGCCATCGGCTGTCATCCACTCCAAGCTATCTCTAAGCTCTATCATCTTTTCGAAAAGCTGGTGCAAAAGAGAGCGATATAGACCAGTAGTTGTTCTTTCTTCAATCGTACCTCGTGCTAGAAAAAAGAACGATAAGGTGATCTTCGAGGAATCGCCTTTTGTCTTAAGCTTAGCCTCCTCAAAGAGTAGTTTCATCAAAGTTGACTTCCCGGTACCGGGGTTGCCTTTGATCCAAAGAAATCCTTCATGATCTTGCCGTTTTGAAACATCATTCCATGATAAGTATTCCGATTTGGTAAGAAACCAACGACATGTTTTCCCTTGGGCAGCAGTCAAACTTGTTAGACGCTCATCAATTTTGGGGAAGTAGAGTTGCTCTACAATAGATTGCCTCGTGGTAGCATCAATATCATGCGTAGGATACTGGCAAAGGGTTTCGGAGCCTCCTACAGTCTGGAGGCGGGAGAGGTGATTGGAAGATTCATATTGTGAGGTTTTTGATCGTTTTCCGGATCTGGAATCAGCAGCAGAAAAAACCGGCGAATCATCAAGAGTGTGTTTCTTTGGGCGTTTTCCAATCTCCTCTGTGAGCCTCCTAAACGCGCTTTCTGATCGTTCGCCGTAGATTAGTGGCATATGAACATCAAAAATGCCCAATAAGCAATAGGCCATGTCTTCTTCACGCTTTGTTTGGCGATTTTTTGCCCATGACATTCGCTCATCAATGGTGAAATCAGACAGATTCTGTCCATGAAGAGCTGATATCTCAATCCCAGTAATTTCGTGAATTAAATGCTGTAGAGATCTCTTATCGCCAAGTAGCATACGACTCGAGCAGAAGAACTCGACCGACCTCGGCGCAATAAGCTCTTGAAGTGTCCAGCCACGAGTGAACCATCGACTTGCTTTGAAGATTGATTGCCAAGAGGAACTGGCTTGATTGTGTCCGTTTGTTGAAACATCTGAAAGGTACACATAGCATTTAGTGGCATTTTGATACCAGCGAAACATAGAATTGATAGCCTCTTGGAGTTCAGCACTACTCGATTTATCGATACAACAAGTATCTACCCAAAAGTATTGTAAGCCATCGCGTTTAGCTTGTTCGCCACAAAATTGAAGCTTCTGATAACCGGATTTGTCCTGTCCAGTATCATTCAAAAGGTCTTGGAAGGTTAGCTCGTCTGTATCTGCCCCCCATGTGTGCGATAGGATGGCGTATTTTGGAATGTCGCTGCCAGCAAAAATCTGGGCCAGACCAAACTGACCCTCGCTATTGTATTCCAAAAGATGCATTATGGGTGATCATACCAGAATCTCAAAGAAATAAAACAAAGCCGTGTTCTCGAATACAGTTGGGGATAATCGGCTGTGATGGTTGTGAAGTGTTGAGGTTTTGGTCAGCTGAGTGCTTATCTTGAGGTTGCATTGAGGCGAAGTTGCAGGTAGCCAATTGCACACTTGGAACTGCGGTCACATCTGCACACTAAGTTGAAGTTTATGGCTGAGTGTAGGAAAGCCAATTATAACCCTTTGTAGGTATGTGGCTTACTAAATTGGGATTTGGCTTCACGACGAGTAAAATGAGGCTGCGCGAGGTTTGAATTTGTACCAACTCATCAACACGAACTTAAAAGTATCCATTCTTACTTCGTGACTTAACTTGATGATTTAGTTTCCCAAACTCCAGTCATGAACTTCATGCTCTATGGCTTTCATCTTTGTCAGTCTATGGTCCCTTGAAATCGTCGTTGATTCCTCATATATCACAGTCCTTTCTATGGTTCTCATACCGAGTCCACTGTTTGATGACGCGAGGAAAGTTGCCTTATGAGAAAATGTGATATATACTAGGTATGTACGTCTTTTTCGGCGCTTCATTACGATATTTTCAGCGATTGCCTTGAAAGTCCACCCTATTGAACCTATTCTATGTTAGTCTTTAACAACATCACATTACCAGAAGCCACCAGTCAACGCACTACCAGCAATCAAAAGGTAAACTGGGATACTCTCCATATGCTACCCCTCTATCCATTGCCTCTCCATCCCCCACCCCCTCTTCAACCACTTTCTTTACACCTGTCTCTATCCCTCAATCCATACCCACCCACCCCCATATCAATCTATGGGCCCATCATCTCATGCTTCACATCAGACACAAACCTCACTCTACCCCTTAAAAGATGATTGCACGTGAAACTAATACGAGTAAAACACAAATTGATTGTAAATGTAAATGTAAAACGTGTCTGATTTGAATTTTCAATTTTATGAATTTATTTTTTTGAGTTTATACAAGAAAGACTGATTGACGACCATGATCCCCATTCCTTTCACATCCATATCCTATTTCTCTCAAATTCCACCATCTTCCTCTGAGCCTCTCTCGACAACCAGATACCACCTCATCTCACTTTTTCCAAGTCAATCAATCTCCCCTCACTCCCGTACCTCTCATCACATATCTTCACACCCTCATCCGAATTTCTCAATGTGGTGTAATATCTATATGCAAATCGCGAAACCTTGAAATCGCCACAAAAAAAATCCCTAAGATGTGTTTCTCGAATGATAAAAACACAAAACAGAACTCCTTCGGCTCCAATCCCAATTTCCCCATCTAATTACAATAAAAGACATTATTCTCCAGCTGTCAACAATCCACATTCGAAAAGACCAATTCAAGATCAATTCAGCACTTCTTTCGACAAAACAAATAACCATGTCCATCGTTTGACAATCACGTATGGTAAATCATCGTCATGTTAATAAAGTATGAAATCGACACCCAATATTGACAATTGATAGGGTTTAACAGGTGTGTAAACCTCAAAAATGCGCGCTCAAATGCATCAATCCAGAAAGAACAAAGTAAACATCCCTAAAATTTTGCATCTCTTACACCTCACATACCTTGACGCATACCCCATTCTGGTTTCAGAGTCATAGCCATATCATCCTTGGTAAAGACGATATCTTGAGGAATTTTACTGACACGATAAGCGCCATTTTTGATCGCATTTGCTTGAACCGATGAGATTCCACTCTTGTTACTTCGGATACTACCAGCATCACTCATAGTATCTGGATCCTTGAATCTTCTTGGAGGAGCAAAATCAAGGGATGTGAAGGTACCAGATTTTCTCAGCATGTGGCTGTATAATATGTTAGTTTAATGACTCTATTCTTAAATGAGATAATTAACCAAGGGAAAAACTTACGGGCTTGGCATTGCAGCAAGTTCATCATATGCTCCAACGATTGGTGCAAATGCTGGAAGTGCAGGTGAATATGGGCGCCTTTCACCAAAGGGACTTTCAGATCGACCGGCAACACGATCACGGACATTCAATTCTGGTGCAAAGTCGAGTGTGTTGAGTAAAGCAAATGAATCGTCCCTGAGCTTGGATGGGGTAGGTAACGAAGTAAGGGGTTCAGGGGGTGGCAAATTCTTTCTTGGAGATGGCATAGGACCACGTTGAGAAGCAGATGAAGATGCTCTTGGTCCTTCGTTGAATGGCATTCTAGGAGGTCCACGCATTGAAGAACCACCCATTGAACCATGCATAGAACGTGGTGGCGCGCCTTGGAATCTTGGTGCACGTGGAGGTGGTGTCATAGCACGACGCGTGATAGGTTCAGCATATGGCAAAACGAAGCTGTTGGTAGCTGGGTCGAAATAAGTAGAATCTCCTGGACCAGGGTAGTTCGCATCATAATCCTCAATGTATTGACCTTGTGGTGCTGGCTTTGAGTCATCAAAATATTCCTTATAGAAAGATCTAATTCTGTTGGCACGGGTTTCAGGATCTTCTGAAGCATCAGCTGGAGCATCGGGAGGCAATGGTCGGAAACCCATGGAAAGTCTTTTAGGATCAAATCCGGGAGCACCCAAACCAGCTTGAGCAAATTCTTCAGGTGGGACATCCATAGAGTAACGATTTGCCTTGTTATTTGCGATTTCGCGAGCAGGGGATGGTGGTGTAACCTCGATTCCATCACCGTAATCACTAATCTCAGAGTTTCGGGGCTTTTGTTGCTGTTGTGGAGTAGGTTTTGGATTCATTGGTAACGTGTTGATTGCTGGAGGGGGTGCTTTACGAGTTGTATTTGGCTTTGGTTCAGCGGGACCAGTTGGAGCAGTAGCGGAAGGATCAGAAATGATTAAGGAGCCTAGGTAATTGTTACTATCTCTGATCGCATTATATTGGTTTCCAGCATAAGATTCCCGGTCCGGATAGGGCATTGGAACGGGCATAGTAGTAGAGAAACCATTTTGGGGGCGTGGATTACCTGGTAGACCTTTTCTGGCAACATCTTGTGGTGGAGAAGCAACTCGCTTTGGTTCCGCTGGCATGTTAGCAGGTGGGATTGAGTTTGATCTTGGTGGTGGAGTAAAGCCGGTTGAAGGTGGAGTTGTTCTTGACATTGCAGCAGCGTTTGATAGGAGACCTTGTCCATCCGGCGAGCCAACATCGTACGCTTTTGAAGGAGCACCGCTTGATTCAGTCATAATTGAAGATCCATTGCGGCCCTGTTTGGAACGTATAGAGCCACCCCCAACAGCTTCATGTACTGGACGATAAGGATCCTCATTTGAATGGATTGTTCTTGAGAGCGAATGAAGGCTTTCCCTAGAATTTTGTAGTTCCGGTGGTAGTAAGTATGGACTTTTACCTCCCAGATCCAAGGACATTTGTCGTGTTCTTACAGCACCTCCTTTCTCGTCATCGAAGTTTGAGATTCCTGATTCTCCACCAGCGGTTCTTGAGATTCTACCCATACCAAAGTCCATATTCTTGGTTGGATCATTTATATCCTCTTCCCTAGCCTTCTTCATATATCTTCGTTGTAGAATTGTGAATAAGATGATGGCGCCGCCGACAGGAATACTATCACGACCAATGATTAGAGCTCAGAACAAACCCACCAAAATGTTGGATAAATTAAACTTACACGATACCTAGAATAACGGGCAAAGTGTAGGCAGAAGGGCCGACTGGCTTTTCACAAGCAGCAGAAGTATCATCTGCAGCACATGTGCTTGACGATACGGCAGCAGAAGTTGTAGCACTTCTCACCATAAGAACTGGATCTGGTAATGACATTTTCAATATCGATGCAATATTACCAATATCTTCTGCAGCCGCCTCTGCTAATGGTACTCGACGTGCCAACCTAACGATATTTGCTAATCTTTGATGGTCCGCCATATTGGCATAGGTAATCGTGCTACCGAATTTGACTGATCTCGTAGGAAATATTTAAAGCGTGCAATCAATTAAGAAATTATAAAACGAGTTTGCTATTATCGTAGTCGTCTTGGGTATCTTTTTCGCTCAAAGGCAGGTGCGATTCGAATATGGTACTTTGTAAATAGCAGGCTGTGCGAGTGAAATGGGAAATTAATGCGAATATCAGACGGGGAAGATCGATTGGTGAATTATCTTTAATTCTTTTTTCGGTATAGGACGGTCAATATGAAACAGTCGAAACGGTTGACGTAAAGTCAAAAAGTAAATAATGAAGAACTATTGAGGTTGAGAAGATAAATTTGGATTGATTGATGTTTTTACTTTTCCTCGAGAGAGTGACTGTGGTCGGAATGATTGGGGTGGTGTAAACAACGAATGAATGTGTTCTTGGAGGCAGTTATAATAAAAGGAATGTGACGCTTGCAAGCAAGCAGGAGAATTAACCTCCAAGAAGATGGTGATGTCTGAGAAGGATGAGGAAAAGGTCAAAGGGTTTCGAGGTGAAGAGGAGAGAAAGGTAAAGGAACGAAGGTGGTTGAGAGATGGAGGAGGAGGAGGAGGAGGAGAATGACAAGAGAGCGAAAGCGAGAACAGAGATAGAAGATTGGATGGATTTTAGAAGATGGGCCAGAATTAAAGAGATGAGCCAGGGGGTCATGATTGACTAATCCCAAAGTAGCTTAATCAGGGGTACGAAACCACTAAAACATGGACAAACATGAATAAATATGGATTTTATATATTAATTTAACATGGATCTAACCCAGGACGGACTAGCATAATTCTGAGCATGATCAGATGAAGATTGGACGAACTTGATAGATAATTGGTTGTGGAGGATTCACAATTTCAATTATGGGGATAAATCCTAGATTTGTGGAGGGATAAAGAAGATATGGGCGATATGAGAGAAGTACAAGAATTAATACAGATCGCAGACGGTATTGAGATGTTGAGATGTTGAGATATTGGGATATTGAGATATGTATCAGAGTATAAAGAAGGCAATACACAATACCAAGTATATCATCAAAACTTCGAGCGCAGCGAGCTATGGGGGTCTGGGGGCTTGCCCCCATGAATAAACGAGTATTGTACCGGTGAGTAGGTATCTAGATTTAATCCCTCATTATTCCATCTCACATCTCTGAACACTCCGTATACCAGTACGTGTATTGATATCTTCACCATCACGACACAACAATACACCGAAGATACACTACTTGCACTCCTATTCTCTCTTAACCCCGTAGACTATCTAGACCATCGTTACCCGAACAAAAATCACAATTATTTCTATCAATAGAATTGTGAAATATTCCCGATTTCGATCAGATGTCTTAACTCTCTTGAAACCCTTTTAGAAAGTCCACGTTGAGTCTAAAAAAGTTAAACATTTAGATGTGGACAGGGTACGCAATCACTAATTTCAATGAATGAGTGGAGGAGTGAGTGAAAGTACTATTTGATGGAGTTGGGGACGTTAGAGGTAAGAGGTACGAGGTAAGAGAGAAAAGAGAGGTTAAGAGATGGTGGCAGTGAAAGATGGATTTATTAGAGTGTCACTGTCGCTTCTCTTTCTCCCCGTTCCTCTCCGCCTCTACTCTGTATCGAAAATATTGATGTTGACCTCCTTGCTAGGTGTGCTACGATTGACTGTACATACCTACATTACCTACATCCTGTACAATCTATACCTGAGACGATACTGTAGGTAGGTAGGTATGATACGAATACAACATCAGTCATACATGCCTACTTGTAACATATCCTCAATAGTTGTCAAATGTTTGATACAATCATTATACTTTTCGTACGTATATTCAGCTATACAAAACAACATCTTCTGACACGCCTCCTTCTCCTCGGAGTATTTCCAGTTTGAAACCCTAAATCCAGATGATTGAATTGTAATCGAAAACGAGAAAGATCAAGTACCCCGTCAAGAAAGAGGCGCAATCATCTGTCATTGTTGTCAATGGAAACCATTCTCGTAATATATAGATCCTAAGGATTCTCAAAATGTTACTGAAGACTCCTATCAGTTCTGAATGGGTTTGAAATCTGCACCCTGAAAACAAGAATAGTTCTCCTTTGAATGTTGAGGAAGCTTACATTGCATGATTTCTTACTCAATTGATCCTTCAACCGCATCTTCATGGATCTTCAAGGGATGTATAAATGCAGTGCCCCAAAAGTTGTGGTAAATGAACCTCGTGCTGTATTCGTGGTACTTTACCGTTATGTATCGTATCTTCGGATATTGACAAATTCCCCTCCTTCGTATCTCGTACTTTGATACCAATAATTGATTGATGCTGGCATCCACCACATTCACATCCACATCCACATCCAGTCCACCACCAAAAAGGTTCGCGAATGGCGAATCTCACAAGACTGCACAGTATCTGGCCATGATAGAATTGCGATATCCTTGATAATGGCCACCTCCTATCATGATTCGCAGATCCAATAGATTCTTCCACTCTTTCTCTCCCTCTCTCTCTTAAAATTAAGATTTACAAACTCCAGACACTTTTCCAACTTTTCTCCATCAGCTAACATCGATACCGATGCACAAAGCACAAGCACGAGCCAGACCGATTCAAAGACCGCACCCACACATACTGTACATGAGATCCACAACGGTACAGAAGACCAATAGTGGACCAGAAATATAAATGATAGGCATGGGCTTATGGAACATGGGTTTAATCGATGCCGCGGTGGCAGAAGTGGCTTCCAAGTCCCAAGTTCCGTTCCATGGTTTGGTTTGATAATAAAGATAGCGAGATTAAATGATCCTCACATTTCAACCGATTAATTTATAGAGAATGATGAGATTTGATCCTGAAATATATTGATCGAATTAAACATGTTGGTGTGCGTATTTAATCAACTCAATCGAATGCGCAGCAGATGTAAATGATCTGATGATGCTTGAGGTATTTGAAAGTATTCAAACTGAGACTCGGCTGGAGAGGAAAGATTGAAATATAGGATATGCCTAGGTAGGTGTGCAGTGCAAGCTGAGAGAATCCTTCAATAGGGGCTCGAGATGCCAATCATTGCCGGCGCGATCAATAGCATCCATGGATAGCATAATATAACCTCAGGAATCGACGGATTCGATAGAAATATTGCAAGTCGTCAGTAAAATTGAGTAGAATTGGGAATGGAATGGAATTGGAATGTTCCACAGCGTCCTGGTATCGTATCATGCCGAGCCCGTTTCTTAGCTGTGTTTGATGGCCGGACTGGGGGGAGAAGGGGGTCAATTCCATTCTCCATGATTCATGCCTTAATTTTGCACGAGATAGATAAGGCATGAACAGATATCTCACCGCCTTGGCTTTCAAAAAAATAGAAACTCGTGACTGCAAAATTATACGCGTATTGTCCCATCTATCCAGCCATTTCCCCCCCTCAGATCCTCCTCACCCTTGTATCACTTCTCTCGGACATGAAATTGTTCATCTAGATATGATGTTAACAAAAAACAGTATAGGCATATGAAACAAATATGGCCGACTTCGATTTATCTTCTACATTCATTCCCGCTCTTCATAAACCTTCCTCTTTACTACCAATAGCTCAACATCGCGAAAGTCTCTTGTATCTTATCGAGACTTATCCTGTTACTATTGTAGTTGGACATACTGGTTCAGGAAAAACTACTCAGATCCCTCAGTTTCTTGAACAGGCAGGATGGTGTGAAGATGGAAAACAAATTGCTGTTACTCAAGTAAGACATTCTTCAGCCCTTTGATAATCGCAAGCTAATCCACATTTACAGCCTCGTCGAGTAGCAGCAACAACAGTAGCGATCCGAGTGGCGGAAGAAGTAGGATGTGAAGTAGGTAAAGAAGTTGGTTATTCAATTCGATTTGAAGATGTTACATCAGCAGCTACCAAGATCAAATTTTTGACCGACGGACTTCTTTTAAGAGAAGCCTTGGTAGATCCTTTATTATCACGTTATTCAGTCATTATGGTTGATGAAGCTCATGAGAGATCTTTGAGTACTGATATCCTCTTGGGCGTTCTCAAAAAGATTTTGAAGAAACGCTCGAATGATTTGAGAGTCATTATTAGTAGTGCTACTCTTCAAGCTGAAGAGTTTTTAAATTTCTTCTCGGATGATGATGCGGAAACGAAACCTAAGGTTGACGATGCCATTACTCTTGATGATTTGATAGCTCAAGGTAGCGCTTCAGCAAGTGACCCAAAAAATGACGGGAAAATTGGACAAATCATTAGTTTGGAAGGTAGAATGTTTCCTGTTGATATTCTTTACCTAGAAAATCCAGCTGAAGATTATTTGGTAAAAGCTATTGATACGGTATTTGATATACACACCAAGGAACCAGATGGAGATATCTTGGTTTTCTTGACAGGAAGAGAAGAGATAGATAAAGCGATACAAGCAATATCGGAACGTGCATTAAGTTTACATCCAAGATCACAAGCTATTATGGCACTTCCTCTTTATGCAGGACTTTCTACCGAACAACAAATGTTTGTTTTTGAACCAGCCCAAGAAAATACTAGAAAGGTTATATTTTCCACCAATATTGCAGAAGCGTCCGTTACAATTGATGGTATCATCTACGTCGTAGATTGTGGTTTTGTAAAACTTCGAGCTTATAATCCAATAACCGGCATCGAAACTTTAACAGCAACTCCAATATCCAAAGCATCCGCAACCCAAAGGTCAGGTCGAGCAGGTCGTACTAAACCCGGAAAATGCTTCCGTCTCTACACAGAACCAAACTTCCAGGCCCTTGAAGAAGCAACCGTTCCCGAAATCCAACGGTCAAATCTTGCGCCCATAATACTCCAGCTTAAAGCTCTTGGCATCGACAATATAGTCCGATTCCCATTCCTCACTTCCCCTCCAGCCGAACTTATTATTCGTGCCCTCGAACTTCTTTATTCCCTTGGGGCACTAGATACCTACGCCAAACTTACCAAACCCCTCGGCACACGTATGGCCGAATTAGCAGTTGAACCCATGATGGCAAAAACTCTTCTATCAGCAAGTTCTTTCAACTGTCTTTCCGAAATCCTCACAATAGCTGCTATGACATCCGTAGGAGGTAATATCTTCTACAATGACTACGATGAGAAGAAAGCCATGGAAACTGCTAAACGGAAATTCGCCGTCGAAGAAGGTGATCACATTACGCTCCTCAATATCTACCAATCATTCATCACCAAAGGCAAAAAACAACCTAGATTCGCCCACGACAATTATCTCAATTTCAAAGCCCTCTCAAAAGCAATCAGTATTCGCGCTCAATTGAAACGCTACCTCGAACGTTTCGGTATCTCGGTAGATGAAACTCTCTCATCATCATCAAACCCAAACATGCTCTCAGTAGGAGGTCCAGATAAAAGCGAACAGATACGTAGATGTCTCACGACGGGATATTTCGCTCATGCCGCAAAAATGCAACCAGATGGAACATTTAGAAATGTGGGAGGTGGAACGATACTTCATGCTCATCCAAGTAGTTTGATGTTTAATCGGAAGTCTGAATGGGTTGTTTTCAGTGAGGTGGTGGAGGTGGGTGGGAAGGTTTATATTAGGGATTTGAGTAAGATTGAGAGGGGGTGGTTGGTGGAGTATGCGCCGGAGTTTTATAAGATGAAGTCATGATGTGGGATTGAAATATTCGATAACATTAAATTGAAAATAGTATTGAGAGAGTATTACTGCTACTTTCTTCTATCATCGTTGTCATATTGTATTTCTTATTTCTCAAGTTTTCGTTACTTAATCCCTATCACTTCGTTTTCCTAAGTCGATCAGTTTCATCCCCTTCTCCACCCCTTCTTCCATTCGCTTCCCGCAATTCTGCATGTCAGAACTTCCAAGGAATTTGGAGGGTGGAGTAAGCTCTCCTGAGATTCCATGTGGAACATTCTGGTAATGTGTATAATAGGCGTTTTGACAAGTTCTCCTGGGACTTTATATAGAAAGGAGACTGGAAAAATAAGGATTAGAAACGAGAAATGAGAATTTTAATGAGGTGTAGTCGAGTCGAGTAGACGAGATGCGATGTAATGGAGAGAAAGAGGTGGATCAAAGAATCAAGGGATTTTATTGATTCACTGCTCATCTTTCCCTCTTACCAGTTTTTTTTCTGGTTTGTGTATTAAAAGCCAATTTACTCTGTTGTCGCTTTCGTGAACTTTACTTTTCAAGCATCGCTATCATGCAACAATCGTCATCATGACCTTTCCTTTGCTACCATCTCATCTATATATCATTGTACTACAGAAGTGTCATTTTCTCACCATCGTCGTTTATTCATTAGGTCTTATCTCGGTCCAGATATACGCAAGTTTGTCAACACTCAACGGAATTCATCTTCTAGATTCAACCGAAAGCCTCACGACGAGGTTGACAATTGGAATTCCCTCATAGCTCGTCTGCTATTCTTCCCATCCTCACCATTATAGAAAAAATTTCGTGGACGCGTAACAGATTGTGATTTTATAGATGATCAATACAACATATTGCTATCGCAACTCCCAAGAGATTCTAAGCGAATAAAAAAGTAGAAGGAAAGAGACGGGTGAACAATATCCCACTCCGCATACATCTCTGCACCTTGGACTTCTCTCCAATAGAGTCTTTATATAAAGTCTTCGACGCTTGACATTGAACTTAGTATACAATCTCTGAAAGCAACCATAGAACTAGCTCAGGAGTAAAAGTTCTATCTCCCTCAAAGAGAACCTCAAATCTATCGCATTTCAAGCTATTTCAGTCCTTTACTCTGTGTTTAGTGATTTTACATCTATATCTTTTCTCGAGAATCTTAGTGTCGTATGAGGTATACACTTCTCTCACTATCACCATCCATACATGCCGTCATTCCCTCTACAAATTTCATCCATTCTTTCATTATCATTTCTACATATCCATACCATCCAATATCATTCTTCGCCCCAATTTTCCACCGCAATAAATACCTACGTACATTCATCCGCAGTATTCGAAACCAAGGATAAAGAGAGATTCAACGTGGAAGTTTTCTCATCGCACATATGCCGGTTTTTATTTCGTGGGCGCTTATGGTTTGATTTGTGGGTTAGTCGGAGTTGGGGAGGTTTATATGGTATTGTGAAGAGCGAAGAGAAGGAGAAGTCGGGAAAGGGGGAGAGAAGAAGGCGGTATCTGAGAATAGGATAGGGGGATATCGTACGAATTAAGTATATATCCGGCTTTTCCGCCAGATATTCTTCGCTCTAGTCTATATATATCTCCTATGGTTTAGATTTTGATGTGGTGTCAAAGTTTGATCGCTGAAAAGAGAAGCCTTGAGTAAGAGTGTATCTGAATCGAGAGTCTTAGTCAGGTCTGCTGAAATAGTCTGCCAAGATATTCACCGAGATAGAGAGGTTTTATTTTCTTGAATGGTGAATACTACAAGTTTGAGCTTGATGGCAAATCTGGATTTTCATTGTCAAAGTGTTTTTGATTGTCTTGACTATTACTCGCAAAAATTTAATCTTGTCGATATCAGACCCCATTCCACAAGTACTATTCCGGAAAAAGCGAATAATGATTAATACTACCCAGCCTTTATTTACCTCACTCTGCCATAGTCTGCCTACCCAAAAACCCATTCTCAATGGTACAACTTACTCCCAGTCGAATTCTCGATGTCTACCCATGTTCTCGGTCTGTATCAACGCTTTCTCGTGTGTCTGTGTTTCCTCCCCGAAGATCTTCGGGACTTTTATATTCCGAGAAAGAAATTGTGAGAGTGAGAGTGAATCATAATATTTTTGAATCATAATATTCGAATTCTTGAACAATCTCCATCTACTCACTCCACGCATACCACCAATAAATACCAGACACACCTCTACACCACTATTCTTTCCATAGCCCCACCATTTCCAAGCGTGAACAAGGACTCTTACTTCCTTCTTTTCCTGTTGAAATCCCATTTTTATAAAAATATCAAGATGCTGTCTTAAATTTTCTTTTTCAGTCCCAGAAACAGTTTATTAGATCAACTTTTGAGGGTTGAGATACCATAGTTCTTGGAAGATAACTCTTTCTCGAATCTATACTGATGCTTCTTGATTCAATGCAGAGAGATTCAGAAGGCGGAGAATGGTTGATAGAATTTTGAGTTGTCATTTTATTGTATCATTTTCGTATTCCCTTTACTTCGTTATCATTCTGTACTTCCACTTTCAATTTTCTTCGCCAGAACTCACTCTTAACACTTCTTTCTACTTTACATTTCATAAGTAGTTTATTGATCTATCTATACCTCAAAGTTCCGCCTTGCCTCTCAAATCCGACCAATGCCCGCCCCTACACGTTCGTACATTCTGATATCAGTTATGTTATGTGATACACTCCTCAATCATTCCTCACTCCGTACACCCCACTATGATCCTGCGGTTCGATAAAATCCACTTCCATTGAAATAAAATTCACAAATATGAAAATAATTTCGTGCTTCGAATATATAGCAAGTCAATCAATTATTGATAAGCCTTCACCTCGCATCGTCTCGGCTGGCTATCTTAATTTGGGTTTCGATTCGATCTCTATATGAATCATAGACTTCTACGCACTTTCTTCTTTCGTACCGGCATAATGGAGAAAAGCTCACAGAGCTAATAAGCAGTGGAAAAAAGAAAAGCAAAGGAAAATTCCGTGGAGGTTATTCTACGTCGGGATGGAGTCGTCTTCAACAGAGTAGATATGGGTAAAGGCTAATCAGTTGTGACTTGTATGTATTTTGTTGTTAATTCTCGTAATTTCTTGTGGCTGTCATTTCAGTTGGGCGTTAAAGGAATAAACTTCGTGGTAGCAGGCAATGATATCGGGTATAGAATGCTCTGTACGCGAGCATGAGTCTAGAGAACTATTCTTATTCTACCTTGACTGGAGGAGGTCAATGAATCGAGAACTTATATAGTTTCGGCGTACACAGGAACTCCCGGGACTTCAATGCTTTCCTTCTGCCCTTTATCTTTCATACATTTTGTAGTAGCATAGCTATTTTTCGTGATCTTTACACAGAATCAAAAAGACGTGGAACTCGGTACCCCAGAAGATTGCTCGTATCAGATCACACTCGATGGAAATATTGATCATATTCATTGAGATATTTTCCCTCATCATTAGGTAAGCCTCTTCATTCCAGAGACAACCTGTTAAACGCTTCTGGTTTTATCCGCGGAGATGAATTCAGGGTGGATATTTTCTGTCTTGTAAGGTAAAGACAATCAGGAACTTGGTTTACGAGGCTTTGAGTCGAGATGAGTGGGACTAGAGTTGTGACTATTGTCAATTTCCTCAATTTATTGTCGCTCTGCTTCAATAAGGAGATAGTTGTCTTTCTTCTCTGACAGCGAAAGAGGTGGTGTTAATTACATTAAAGCCGACCACAAAATTGTGATAGGTTTATATATTAAAGAACTTTGGCTTCTCATCGACGAGAGATCGTCATATAGATACAAGATTGTACTGCAATCTTGTCATGCCTAGGATCGCAGTTTAGTGCGATTGGTTGACTGTTGAAAACACAGAGGATAGGAGGCATAGGTCGATAGTATTAAGCATCTTACTGTTGACTTTGCTCTTTGTTGTCGAATGACATAGTGGCATATAACATTGTAGATGATACAGACTGGTACATTCGAAGTAAGATCATAATCGAGAGACACCGTCTGGCTATGAATGCTCTTCCATGTGAACACATGATTTGGGTAGGTCCAAATTACCCTAAACCTGAGGGTTTTGATCCGATAGTCAGATCATGAGCTAAGTCTAGCGTCTTTAAAGAGTCTTATATAGCCCTCCGGTGACCCCTATTTTCTTCAATGAAATATATTACATCGTTCACTTTTTTTTTAGTCACAAATGAAATCGGGCCCACTAGGTATGCTAAATGATTGAGGCATATTTAAACAATCAGTGTTGCATTAATCAATTCTTCAAAGATAATATTTGCTATGGTACCACGTTTCCAGGTGCGAGAGACTTTGAGTTCGATGTCAAAAAAGACGATAAGGGTTTGACATTTGGCTTCTTTCAGATAACAGAGGAAGCCCATGGAGTGTGTTCGAGTCTGTTATTCAGGAAGCTTGTGCTATCGATAATTCGAATGACTATCGTGGTGTTGTAATCACACTTTCGCTGTCTCTTGATGATAAATATCCGATTGTTGTCGTCATTATCCTGAAATATCAATCACCGTTTGCTGTAACAATAAGTTTTGATATTCGAAATCAATCACCGCAGCTTACAAGTCATCAGACCAACCATGGTTCTGACCCATGCGTTTTAAGTTTTATAACTTGAGATGAACATTTCTGATACCCTGAAAGATATCGGAAAAGCTTGTGAAATCTGATCTTAAACCGATTCTTACTTTCCGCGCATTCTCATCGTTTCTTCGAAAGGCTCCTATCGAAGGTTGACAGCGTCGACACAAGATGCTTTATTTGTTCTTGACTAACGAGTCATACTAAATACCATGAACCACATAGATGCCTTCCAGATGTTTTGTACAATTCATCCCGGTATGTTCCTTCATGTAAGTTGTCCATGAAGAGAGTTCTTGTGTCTCGCAATTCAAAATGGAGATTTTCAAACTTTGTGGACATTCTACTCACCACGAACGTAGCCATGCATCTATCCAGAGCGCCTCAATATGTTACCATACGGTGCTATGATGACAAACTGAAAGAAAGAAAGAAAGAACAAAGAAAGGAAAGCATCACACCATCAGTAGAGCATGTGTTCAAAGCATCTAACAAGAAACAGCAACCAAATCACAGGGGCCAAACAAAGGCAACAAAGAAGATTTGATCACAAAAATCATATGCAGTAAAAGATTTCATCTCAACTAATATACCTGCGGCCAGACCAACTCACCACTGCCGAAATTCTACAATTTCCAGTCTCAGTACAAAATGTCCTCCACCACAGGCCCCAAAATGCACTCAGATCCTCCGCCAAAACCATCCTCCTTCGCCCTCCGCTATTACGATTTCGCAGACGGACACAGCGATCTGACTCCACGCCCGACTCTAATCCCCCCCTTCCCCTCTTTTTCCACTACCCCAACATCCAGAGCTCCATCCAAACAAACACGCGACTGGGATACGATTGAGACACATCAAAGAAACCGTCTTCACTCTTTCACCACTCGTGAGCTTCTCAATCTCGATGCAATAACTGAACGTCCAATGGCTGCATCTACATTGTCCGATGTACCTATTCTCGCTCTACTGCGAAAGACGCAATGGGACAGTACAGGTAGAATGTTTGGAAGAAAAGACGCGATTATTATTGATGACTGGGGACAGAGTGGAGAAGAAGAAAGCGGGATGTATGGAAGTTGGAATTCGGAGAATGAACATGTATGGAAGGCCTTGCGGCCGAGTCTAACGATTGCAAATCAGTATTTGTTATCGAGTCATATGCTACCTTGGGTGAGTTACTCATGATCCTTGATATGTGATGGATATTTTCATATACTTTATTGGACTAGAGTTAGTATTGACTTTAATGACAGTTTGACGCTTTACTTCTTGCCCCTCGGAAACCCATACCACCCGAAAGAAATCTTCTCGATGTGCCTGATCTCCAATATTTTTCTCCTCGACATCCAGCTTATAAGATTGAAGATACTAGGAAAGCCCGTGATAAAATATTAAGTGATGTCCTCTTGGATAAACATGACATTTTGTTTTCGTTTTTTGAGCCGGGCAAAAATCCATACACAGGGGAAGTTGACGTAGACGGCGATGAGAACATGTATCCTGATCAGAACACGCTAGCTTTTGCAGATATTCGCTGGAATAAGCGGAATATAGGAGACGATAAAGAAAGTTCATGCTATAATATCGTGCTCATGCTGAACGTTGATTTCATCACTCCATTGATTGTAGATAAATTTTTGAACCATGCCGAACAATACGCAATATCGTGGCGAATAGCCGTTGTAGTAAGTACATTTTCCAAATCTCTAGTGCATACTGATGTCATAACGAGTTTGTAATACTTTATACTAAGCGCTAAGAATCATAGATAGTACATGAGTTAGTTCATGCTATAGAATTGGTTAGAAATTATCCCAGTCGAGAGGTTGAAATGATGACCCCACCTGCCTCAATCGAACCATATTTCGAAGAAGAAGCTTTGGCTGAGCTAGGATACTCGTACGAGAATGCCGTGGGTTGGATTACCCCATAATCAAGCTGAAAAACTATGGAGTAAATTCTGACCTATAATCAGGTTAACGGGGGATACATAGAAACAATGCTCAATGGTACGATATGGAAAAATCGCCCTTTAGGCTATTGGCTAGTCACACCTTGGCCAACTATGGAGATGATTCTGACCTATACATCATCTATCGAAAACCCCCAACTCGATGGGGATCCACAACCCCCAAATCATAAATACTTACACCCCATCCCAGTGACTGTTTACGAAGATGTGCAGTCCATGTCATTTTGGGAGCATGCAGTCCGGCCATATGGTCATAAGATATTGTACTATCGAACTATGAGATCTAGTGTCGGGATCAAAGTCGAAGATGAATATGTGTGGGGTAGAAATGATATCACAGGGCGAGTGAATGTCTCACCATTGGGAAACGAATCCAAATCATTCGTAGATGAAATAGAACAGCTCAAAAAATCAGTCAATTGTACACCAGAAGAAAAGAAAATCTTACGAATTGGGAGCAAACTAATAAAGACTGCAGAGTATGGAGCAACTTTCTGGTCAGATTCGATTGAACAACGACAGAGTATCAACGAATATGTTATGATGATCGAAGAAACCGAAATGAACACCCTAAAGGACAAAAATAATAGAGTACAAGTATTTAATATTTTATTGAAGGCAACAGAGAAGCATATTAGCCTGATGCAAAACCAGTTACGCATCGACGAGTTAAATCGTACAATTTCAGCAGACAGACGAATTGATCTTTTGAAGTTCAATCGGGGAATGCGAGCACTCATACATAGAGTTAAATTGGAATGGCAGATAGAACTTTCCCATCCGGTCATTCGCCTCAGTGCTGTATTGAATCATTTGGAAATGGCCTTGATGTATATCTTGGTCCCCGATCAACTCACCCAACTGACTGATACTGAGGACCAAAAAGAAATCAATATAATATCGCAAGCTGGTATCGAATTCATCTCAGGAGATGTTGGAAGTTGCCAAGAAACCATTTCTGAAATCCATAAGAATCCAGGACATCCTCGTATGCGATAACTTGCGCGGGACTACTAGATCTAGCTTGTGATTTTGCAAGTGGTCGCCGGGCGTGGGATGATACACAACAAAAATTGACACAACGATACTTTGCGAGAATCAGATATTTGACCAGGCTCTACGATGGAGGGAAAAGAGAATGGATTGAGTTGTTGGGACACTGGATGAAATTCGCTAAAGATTTAGTGAACGATTTAGATTATGGAGGAATGCATGGAATTGGGATGATCACAATGAGTACGAGAAAGAAAAGAAAGATCGCGAGAGATATGGGTGAAGACGCACCACCGTACACGCAGGAAGAGATTTAGACAAAAAGAATGCTAATTCCAAGCCTGGAATGGAGAGAAACCCGTTGCTCGGTAGGCTTCATTTCCGGAACGCTCCGCTCCTTGTCTGGAGTTGAAACTTGACGTTCCAATTGTGATGAGAGGTGAAAATCTGGACGGAATTCCTGTCCGATTCATGAAGAAGGGAACGAGGGTGAAGGCTAGACACGGATACCACCACCCCAGTAAGAACTGCTTCGATTTATGCTAGAAAACTTTTCCTTTTGCTGCTTGGCAGGCTCATTCGAATTCCCATCTAATTTTCAATCGATTTGTGTACATAGATTTGTGATTTAGAGAAATTACGATAACCATTCGATCCATGTAAAAGAGCTTTGAAATCCTAGTCCGATGGCTACTTAGGCCGAGGAACCATAGCGAAACGTTATGAGATGCCATTGAGCTTGAAAAATTCTCACGGCTGCATATCCGAGCTCATTTTGCCTAATTTTAAAACGTGCTTCGTTAACCGAATATGCAAGATTGACGCAAGCCGGATGACTTACCGATAAGACGACAACGGCTTTATCGAATGGATGCTGAAAAGACCAAAGATTGGAACATCATGATATCATGTCATTGAAGATACACGTGCGACGTAAAAATTATACAACAGAAGAGATGAGTGGTCAGAAAACGAGCAGCAGCCACAGTGTGGACGAAACTAAAGTCTATTCTCATCAGGTCGAGGATTTGGCTAGAAACTGAACTCTACCTATCGTAAGATGGAGGTAAGGGGTGAGACATCTCAAGCATTCTTTACGCTGACGATCCATATCAGAATCTAGCCTCATCGCGGAGCACAAGTTTTGCTGGGAACTGACGCACAGCGATGTAAAGAACCTCTTCAAGCTGTAGATTTCAAATCCTCGTATCATCCTGGGTTCCAAATTACATTTTGTATCACCCGTTTCTCGATTTGTGACATAATGGAATGTACTTCTCTCCTGACAGGAATTATATCCTGGCCCCTTACATCTTGGCGGATGCGGGGTAATTGAATGGACACTATTTCGCACAGCTCGGGCTTGGCGTCTTAGCATTCTTGAGCTGCCAAGAGGGACGTATTTGTATGTCGGTTGCTGAGATCAGCTACCTCAAAGTTAATGTGGTGAGTTTTGTGGTACGGTCAAAATATTATATAAGGAGGCAATGCAGTCGAAAGATCCAATATTTCAGAGTTCAAACTCATAGTTTTGTACCCATCTATTCAAGATCTGAAAACTTTCCAGTCTGATTCCAAATCTTGGCTCTCTTAACTATTGAGAAGATGCGCTCAGCATCTCTTCTGTATTTTCTCGCCGTAGGGTTGAGTGGTGTACTAGCAGCTCCGGGATCCGCAGTCGGTAAGTACTCTCAAAGAGTCTCCATAATAATCATCTAATCTTTCGTAGAGGCAAGAGCGGATAGTCCTGCAAGATGCCCCAAGATATTTTGTGTCCCTGGTACTCACTTATCTTGGAATCCCGAAACAAAGGTTTGCTCGTGCAAACTAGATGATGGGGAGAAAATTTGTTACACAACAACAAATTGCATAACCGCACATCATCCATTATGGAACTCTACGACCGAGACGTGTTCTTGCGTACCTGACCAGACCAAGACTACTTGCCTTACTGCGACAACTTGTTTGGTTGGATCCCACCCTGTTTGGCATCCTGAAAGTTCAACCTGTAAATGCGAGCGCAATGAAGTTAGAGACGTCGATCCCGCCACATGCCCAACGATTCGGTGTGCATCCACCACTCACCCTGTATACCATCCTGAGACCAAGCGATGTACTTGTGAGCCAAATGCTCCTGTATGTCCAAACATAATATTCTGCGCCGGCGGTGCCCACAAAGTTCTTAAGCCCTACGCAAAGAAATGCACTTGCGAACTTGATGATCCTGTTCCTCCAACTTGTCCACTCCTCAAGTGTGTTGAAGGAAATCATCGTGTGTATCACCCCGAAACCAAGAAGTGCCAATGTGATCCTGACTGTCCTGACCTTTTCTGCATTGCGGAGCAAAGGCCTACATACAATTCAGCAAGCAACTCATGCTCCTGTCAATGGATCCCAGGGTTGGAACCAAACAATCCGACAACACCTATCAGGGATGAGACCTGCTCTGGTACAGTCTGCATTTCTGAGAAACATCCCGTATATGATGCAAAGACAGGTAAATGCACCTGTCGATGGATCGATGGACTTGAGCCCCCCGTTGAGCCAATAGATCCGTGCGTCGGTATCTTCTGCATTTCGGAGATGCAGCCCGCTATCAACGTAACGACTGGTCTATGCGAATGCGAGTGGATTCCAGGTCTCGAACCAAAGAACACCGTGAAGCCTATCAAGACGTGCGTCGATATCGTTTGCATCGCCGAGAAACATCCTGTGTACAATGCGACCAGTGGACAGTGCGATTGTGAATGGATCGACGGATTTGGACCCTCTGCAAGCAAACTCTAGGTGTCAAATTTCAGGAATGGTGGATTTGGAGGATAAGAGGCAAAAATTGAAAGTATCTCTTCGTCAGCTAGACCAATTAAAGTATCGCATTTTTCAATCTCTAGAGCTTATTCCCCTCAATTTGTTTGTCTCTTCGTGCAACAGATCGTAATGCATGCATAATTAATTTATGCAGCTAACTTAGTGGTGTGGTTGATGTGCAGAGCTCAGCCACCGCCAACGCCTGATATGTCATGATAACTGGTGATTGTTAGAGCTCGTAAAAACGAAGGTCAGATCATGACATCGATTTCGGGCTTTTCTCATTCAAATTGTAAGCTTCGAAGAAAATCCGTTGACATGCGGCCATTCATGATACCAACGAAGAGCTGAAATCCGTGTCAATGGTATTTGTGCATTCGAACCTGCCAGGAAAGCCATCGCTTACTAGAAAATAACGCCAGCTACGAGTGTTTGAATTCCGCGAAGGCGTCGACCTTAGTGCCAAGTCGACCAAAAACCCAAATCTAGTCCCAACTTCTCACAAGCCCCGCTGACGCCGAACACTGATATTTTAGTACCCACACGTATGTAATCTTAGATAATTCGTATCCCTTACATCGTTTTGTGAAACTCCAAGTCAGGCTTCTGACTCCTTAAGATGCGCATCGATAAGACGTAGAACGAAAAAAGAATCTAGAAATCTCACGAGGAGCTTCGACAAGCTCATGCACCGTATTCATCCAAATTTGGCACGCGACCGCTTTGGATTTGCCCCTCTCATATTGTAATTGAATGAAGCTTTGGCATAGCATGGCTTTATGGTTTGTAACCAATGATGGCGCAGGATTACATTTGAATAGCTTTATTGGCTTCCACTAAAGAATAAGCCAAACTTCCTTTCATCCAGGTGTGAAATGTGTGTTAAAATATCCAATCAAAAATCCAATGAAACTTCAGCTATTTTGATATGGAACCTTTGAGCTCTTTGTTTTGTGACGCCGGTAGGAATAAAAGCGAATAGCTATTGTCGCTTCAATAACCATGTATGGCGAATCATCCAATTGAGCTTTTTGATAAAAGTGCAGCGAGACTCCATTCACGGGGCTGAATCGAATCGCATTGATAGAGTGTTATTTCGCATCCACAATCGAACGGCCTGTTGCATATACGATATCGCGTCGCTTTGAACAATTTTCCGTGGCATGTCTGTTGGATAAAAGCTTCGGTTGATAATCGAAGGGGTGTCTCGGCGTCTTGTAGCCTTGCCCATGGAGAGTGGCAAAGATCGAAAGACTTGAACGATATGTCTTCTTCTCAAAAGTCTTGAATCAAGTAGACAGATATGAGAAGAAGATTTACGAGCCAGATTTCAAGTTTTCTGCAACTACCATCAGATTGACCATGGGAAGCAGCTTGGATGCACGACATAATGTATACCATATCCTGCAACCATGTTTAGGGGAATTGAGTAATTTGAGGTCAGAAATCTACAAATATATGCGAGGAAGACATTCAATGAAGATGCTATTCATCGACTGTCGTTCCCTTATTTCAATGCAACGATGATCAAGGTAGGAAGGTGATGAAAAAGACGTGCTCGATTACATAAGCCAACGTGATTTCACATGATGAGCGGATCAGCAGCACGTAATTTGTCCTTCACTCCATCCCAAATTGTTATCATCTTACTTTGGCTATATGGGTTCTCTGAAGTCTCAATTTCTGATCTAAAAAGCAGCATAAGCCAACGGCATGATTTGAAGGAAGATATTGAGCAGTAGGGTATCTAGGCTTGAATAGGTGAGTAGAGCTTGACGAAACATTCGACAGGGCGGATATTGCTGCGCTGATATAGACTACAAATACATCAAAAGGATTGTCAATGCACAGACGTGTCAAGAACACAAGAAAGTTTGGATCCTGCAGAATAGTGTATTGCAACCGTTGCCAGACTCAGTAAGGGAGCGTATGCAAAGCGACCCTTTAAGAGGAACGATGACTTTCTCATGTTCTTTGGATACATCAAATTAAAAACATTGGTGTCTCAATATATACATAACCGCTCCCTCGTATTTGATACCATTTAGGAGTTGTCTTGGAAACGCCACGTTACAACCGTCTTCAATTATGTACAGACAAGATAGTATAGGTCCTACACTGTCACTTTGCTCAGCGAGCAACTTCGCTGCCCATCAATGTGATCCATAATCCGCACTGACAAGTAGCATAATATTGTATACAGAATTTTCAGCTTTGTCAAGAATTTAAGGCTGCAATAAACTGATTGTCCAAAACTAAGGGACCATCTTGAACAATCAGGAGGCCGTATCTAGATCCAGAAATGCGAGATTTTATCGTTAGATTATAGTTTGACCTGCCCGATCTCGCTTCGGCAGATGCGAGCCTTCAGATGTTCATCAGCCATCAAATTAGAGGTTAAGTTTTGTTAGGGATGAGGTGCTGGGGTGGGAAATCCCAGGTTCAGGTTGCCTTCCAGGCAAGCGTCGAAGCCGACAAGATCAAAGGAAGGGTCGAACATAGAGAAGAG